CACACACACACACACACACACACACACACACACACACACACACACACACACACACACACAGTGACACACACACACATCCGACCCCGTATTACATAGACTACGATCACCATGCGCGCTTAGCTCTTCCGTACACAGATTACTGCTACAGAGGGACGAACGCACAGCGAGCGCAGCGATCCGACGTAGTACACTCAACTACGTAATCTGTATATAGGGACCCTACACTCAACCTTGTACCTCAACGACCCACTCACGGGGAAACGCCAAACAGTGTCCTTTATAGACAGGGTGTACGTTCTATAAAGGTGTCCTTTATAGACAGGTGTCCGTTCTATAGAGGTGTCCGCTACCGCAGGTATGACGGTACAGTATAACAGACAACCCCTTTCTGAGACACCCTCCCCTCGCATCGGAACACCTGCGTGCGTGCGTGCGTGCGAATATGAACGCGTGGCTGTCTTTGTTAGTCTGAGTCACAATATTAAACGCGCGCACGCGCGTGTGTGTGTTGACATTGCTACCATATAAAGTGATATAATAGCTTTACCTGAATCGTCCTGGTCCACCTGATAACCAACCTTAGGTTTGCACCTCCGTACACAACCCCGTAACCAAACTGCATGCAGTGCCCCTTCGCTCACTCAGGAGGGTAATGCTATCCCACGGGCGTGGAGGGAGGTGACCGCAATGTGGCAGCACTAGTGTTGGGATAGTGTTAGGATTAGGGTTAGGGTCAGGGTTAGGGTTAGGGTTAGGATTAGGGTTAGGGTTAGGATTAGGCCATGATTGAGCCCATGAGCGAGAGCGCCATCTGTCGTGGAGTTTGCCCCGTAACAACACGCTCTCTCTATAACCGCGGTAAAGACGACGCTCACGCTGTTTAGCTTACAACATACTTACATAACATGTAATACTTACATGCATTTTAATTAGAAACGATGACTAAGACTATATATAGCAAGATTATGAGGTGCTAAGGGCGCGTGCTCACCCCCGAGAGATGACGAATAATGACTAGCGTTCGGCTCCGTGACGACGCTCATCGCTATCAACGTCGACCGCTACGTGTCCGTGTCGCGTCCGCTGCGCTACCATCAGGTCATGACCTCACGCGTCGTCGCCGTCATGATCGCGCTAAGCTGGAGCGTCGCCATCGCCGTCGGCGTCGTCAGCTTCGTCGAGAACAGCTGGTCGCCCGACGAACCGTGTCTGTTTGACGTCATCAGTGGCACAGCGACGCTCCTTCTCGGCGTCGTCTTCATCGCCATCTGCGGCGTCACCATCGTCGTCATCTACGCGTACATGATGCTCGTCGCTAGGCGACACCGTCGGTGCATCCAGCCGCTGCCGCCGCCGACGACGAGCAACGGTTCCTCGCAGCCGACAGAGCTCCCGGAGGAGCTTCGCTCCTTCTCCGATGCGCTGGTTAGGAATCTGAAGCTAGCGAAGACGTTCAGCATCGTCGTCGGCGCCTTCTTCGTCTGCTGGGCTCCGTACTTTGCCGTGATGCTGCTGAACGTGTTCGAGGTGCGACGGGGGCCGCTGGGGATGCTGCGCGGGCTGGGATACCTGATGGCCTGCTGCAACTCGAGCGTTAACTTCTTTGTCTACGCCGGACAGAGCAAGACATTCCGCAGGGCGTTCAGGGCGGTGCTGCCCTCGCGCGGCGGAAACTAGAATCAGAAGCATCGATGGACGGACTACCGACGTCCCAGGCCAGTCGCCCCAATTTTCAGAATATTGGCAGGGTTCGTGTTTATGTTTGGACGAAGTGATCGCTGATTGCAGTGTAATATCTAGTTTAGCGCTTATTCGTATACGCGCCATGAGATCTTGTGTAATTCGTTGGCATTACATGCCCGACGCGTGGATACCCAAATACTACTCTTACAAGGAATTGTTAGAAGGTATTAAAGAAACCTGAATGTCATTGAAACATAAAATAGGGTTATCGCAACTGGCGACACACTTAGGAATTCAGCTTGTGGTTCAAGGTTTCGTTTAGTTTAAATTTAGTTAATTTATTTTAAACCATCTTTTTCTCAAGATAGTGTCATTCATACTAGCCACGTGCTGTGGCGCGCACACTGACATGGCATCACCACGCAAAAGAGCAACGCACAAGGTTAACTTAAGCGTGTGAAAGCCTCAATCATACATACGGCATATATTATATATATGTATATATATATATACGATATACGGCATATATATATATATATTGTGTTGTTTCCTCTCTCCCTCGGTTAACCCTAGTACTAACCCTTTTGCGTTTAATATATTCCTGTGTCCGATACGAATAATGGGGTCCGTTTGTAGAATCTGTCAGAATTCGTTACGCAAGTGGTTTTGAAAGACACGACCTCTGTTTATGCTTCACTTCAAACGCGTCCATCCGCGACCTAGTTCTAACCCGGTGCCGCGGAGTTAGTGGGCAGACCTTACCGTTAGATTAAACTGCGTTCGTGCGACAAACCCAGCGACACGGCGAGCCTACCCGCTGATCATCATCAGCGTCGTCAACATCGTCGTCAACGCCGTCGTCGTGCTGGCGGTGACACGCACGCCGTACCTGCAGGAGCCGGCGCACACGCTCATCGCCAACCTCGCCATCGCCGACGTCGGCCTCGGTGTGCTCGGCCTGCTGTCGCTGGCGACGTTTCGTCGTCGATCGGCCGCCGATGGTTGTCTGCGTCGGCCACTTCGCCGTCGTCACCTGCTTCGCGTTCGGCTCCGTGACGACGCTCATCGCTATCAACGTCGACCGCTACGTGTCCGTGTCGCGTCCGCTGCGCTACCATCAGGTCATGACCCCGCGCGTGGTCTCCGCCATGATCGCGCTCAGCTGGAGCGTCGCCATCGTCGTCGGCGTCGTCAGCTTCGTCGAGAACAGCTGGTCGCCCAACAAACCGTGTCTGTACGACGTCAGCAGCGGCAAGGCGACGCTGTTGCTCGACGTCGTCATCGTCGCCATCTGCGGCGTCGCCATCGTCGTCATCTACGCGTACATGATGCTCGTCGCCAGGCGACACCGTCGGCGCATCCAGCCGCTGCCACCGCCGACGACGAGCAACGGTTCCTCCCAGCCGACAGAGCTCCCGGAGGAGCTTCGCTCCTTCTCCGAGGCGCTAGCCAGAAACCTGAAGCTGGCGAAGACGTTCGGCATCGTCGTCGGCGTCTTCTTTGTCTGCTGGGCTCCGCACTTCGCCGTGATGCTGCTGAGCGTGTTCGAGGTGCGACGGGAGCCGCTGGGGATGTTGCGCGGGGTTGGACACGTGATGGCCTTCTGCAACTCGAGCGTTAACTTCTTCGTCTACGCCGGCCAGAGCAAGACATTCCGCAGGGCGTTCAGGGCGGTGCTGCCCTCGCGCGGCGGAAACTAGAATCAGAAACATCGATGGACGGACTACCGACGTGCCCAGCCCGTCACCCTATAATTGTTAGAATATCGGCAGGACGGACGAATATGTTTGGACGAAGTGATCTCTGATTGCAGTGTAATATCTAGTTTAGCGCGCATTCGTACGCGCCTTCAGGTCTCGTGTAATTCGTTGGCATTACATGCCCGACACGTGGATACCCAAATACTACTCTTACAAGAAAATGTTAGAAGGTATCAGCAAAACCTGAATTGTCAGGTCATTAAAAATGACCTGAATGTCATTGAAACATAAAATAGTGTTTTCATCGCAAGTGGCGACGCACTTGGGACTTGTTAACCAATCACTTGGGACTAATTCAAGCAAGGAGCAAGTTATGTGGTTCAAGGTTTCGTTTAGTTTAAATTTTCTTAATTTCCTTCAGACCATCTTTTTTTCAAGATAGCTGTTGGCGCGCACTGACATGGCATCACGACGCAAAGGAGCACCGCACAAGTTAAACTTTAAAGTTAAGAAAGAACTCTCTTATTCATGTTGTTTGTGCACAGGGCGTGCGTGCGGTGTACTTGCATGTGTGTTGCAGATGAGCGTTTGACCGGCATTTACGGGTAATTATCGGTAATAATAGGCGAAATAGAGTAGAGAAACATTAAGACTTTGGTAGTAAATACATTTCGAGTTTATTTACCTTTTTTATTGAGATGTTTCAAGTGCCTGTGGGCGTGACACGGTGATGATGAGTAAGCTAGGCGTCTCCCGTCTCCTCCGCAGCTCGTCTCAGTCCGCAGCAGCGCCCTGCCTGGGGCGTTTATCTCGCGTACACATGATCAGTGCTTGTGTATTCACTTCTCCCCGAGTGTTTGTTGTGCGAGCGAATTACTCATCATCGCAGAATCGCACGCAAGCGTCAGAGTTCTATTTCGAGTATGGCGCGAGCAGCCTCTCCAAGCAAACCTGTTCCAAAGTCAACAGCAAGCATGCAGCAAGGTTTTAGCTCGGCTGTGCGTACGTACCTCCGGTACCCTAGCTGTCCCGTCGCGACAAACCCGCATGCGACCCGGTGCCAAGAAGAGAGCCTTGTATGTGGCGGCACCCGCCAGTGAAAAACTGTTAATCGCTTCACTAGCCCACTAGGCCAGTAGCCCAGTAGGGCACCCGAAAATTATATTATATCGGCGGGCTACCAATAATATACCGCGCTATTAGTTCTGTTGGTGATATATTTTTTCATAGTGGCTTAACAGCGTCACTGCATTGCTCGACAGAGAGTTGGAGATTGGGATACAAAGTGAGGCTGCATGATGTCGATGGTTGCGATTAGGGTATAGCTATAACAATCCTCGTCACTATAACCCTATCATAACTGTTGGAAGGGCCTTACCCTACATTGTATAGACCTTATAACGTCATGCTAAGCAATGTATTGGCTTCTCTGAGCTACTATATATATACGCCAGTCTTATCTTGCGTATATATATATATACGCGTATATACTATATATATATTTATAATCAGAAGTAGATAATAGGGATTTTAGGAAATAATAAGGAATTTAGGGATAATAAGGATTTTTTTTCCTATTATCTACTTCTGATATAATGATGTTTTTCACGGCTATGTACTGTTTCTAATACTATGTATAGATATTCTATTTAGAATGATGTACCGATAGCATCTTTGCTGTGGGGCATTCTACCATTCCACGTTCTATCACGGATTTTGATGCTATAGAGGTTTCATTCCGAATAAGACTATTGCATTTGTGAGTGAAGTTAATCTATATATAGCGGTGATTACCTTGGTATCGAATGAGGATAAGAGAGATTTCTGAGGATAATAGAGATTTCTGAGATTATTGAGGATAATAGAGAATAAGAGAAAATTTGTGATAACCAAAATTTGTTATTAACTAATGACATCTATGATGGAGGAATACATTTCTTGATGGTTGACCAAATCTATGATGGAAAGCAAAGGTTTCCCGAGTTCAAATTTATGATTGAAAGAAAACAACACGTTTCTTGACGCTTGAAGTCATGACCCCGCGCGTCGTCGCCGTCATGATCGCGCTCAGCTGGAGCGTCGCCATCGTCGTCGGCGTCGTCAGCTTCGTCGAGAACAGCTGGTCGCCCGACGAGCCGTGTCTGTATGACATCAGCAGCGGCAAAGCGACGCTGATACTCGACGTCGTCTTCGTCGCCATCTGCGGCCTCGCTATCGTTGTCATCTACGCGTACATGATGCTCGTCGCTAGGCGACACCGTCGGCGCATCCAGCCGCTGCCGCCGCCGACGACGAGCAACGGTTTCTCGCAGCCGAGGGAGCTCCCGGAGGGGCTTCGCTCCTTCTCCGAGGCGCTGGCTAGGAATCTGAAGCTGGCGAAGACGTTCAGCATCGTCGTCGGCGCCTTCTTCGTCTGCTGGGCTCCGTACTTCGCCGTCATGCTGTTGAGCGTGTTCGAGGTGCGACGGGAGCCGCTGGGGATGCTGCGCGGGCTGGGATACGTGATGGCCTGCTGCAACTCGAGCGTTAACTTCTTCGTCTACGCCGGACAGAGCAAGACATTCCGCAGGGCGTTCAGGGCGGTGCTGCGCTCGCGCGGCGGAAACTAGAATCAGAAGCATCGATGGACGGACTACTGACGTCCCAGGCCCGTCGCCCTGATTGTTAGAATATCGGCAGGGTCCGTGTTTATGTTTGGACGAAGTGATCTCTGATTGCAGAGTAATATCTAGTTAAGCGCGCATTTGTACGCGCCTTGAGGTCTCGTGTAATTCGTTGGCATTTCATACCCGACACGTGAATAACCAAATACTACTCTTACAAGAAATTGTTTGAAGGTATTAGCGAAACCTGAATTGTCAGGTCATTGAAAATTACCTGAATGTCATTGAAACATATAAGCGTGTCATCGCCCGTGGCGACGCACTTGGGACTTGTTAACAACGCACTTGGAACTAATTTAAGCAAGGGGAAGCTATGTGGTTCAAGGTTTCGTTTAGTTTAAATTTAGTTATTTCTTTCAGGCTATTTTTTTCAAGATAGTGTCATTCATACTAGCCACGTGTGGTTGGCGCGCACACTGACATGGCATCACCACGCAAAGTAGCAACGCACAAGGTAAGCTGAAGCGTGTTAAAAGCTTCAATTATACATACGGCATATATTATATATGTATATATATACGATATACGGCGCTTTCCTCTCTCCATGCATCTGTTAATTCTAGTACTAACCATTTTGCGTTTAATATATTCCTGTGTCCGATACGAATAATGGGGTCTGTTTGTAGAATCTGTCAGAATTCGTTATGCATGTGGTTTTGAAAGACAGGACCTCTGTTTATGCTTCACCTCTAACGCGTCTGTCCGCGGTTTAGTCCTAATCCGGTGCCGCGAAGTTAGTTTGCAGACCTTACCGTTAGATTGCACGGCGTTCGTGCGACAAACCCCGCGTCACGGCGACAGTCTTGCTTGCGCTAATGCACACGTTCATTACATTATACATGACGATCGCGTTAAGCCCTTTTCTTGGCCGTGTCGACAATGATGGTTCGCGTATATATAAATAAATAAATAAATATATATATATATATGTATGTATAAAAAACCTCAGCGCCGTCGTCAATTTATACTAAACTAGGCTAAAGTGCCAAATGGGCTTGTTAAATAAACGCTTTATGCAGGATATAAATTATTTTTGATATTAATTATAATAATATAACTTTACGAGCACGAGTAGGCCTACGAGTACGACTCGTAGGCACTATACCTAAGGGCCAGCCAATGTCAGAATAAGTATTAATACTATTAAGGATACTGTAAGCCTGGGTTACGGACCGGTAACACTGTAAAGGGCATTGCAACATAACTACTCATCAAATTCAATCAAACTCATATCCATTACATACGAGAGATGGGTCTCTACGCTCTCGATAAAAAAATTTTAAAATTAATTCATCGCTATTTAATTGACGGCAAAAATTGTGAATTTATACAAAAACATGCTTTTTTGCTATTTTTTCAGAAGCAGCAGAGTTGGGACCTAAACTTTTAACAATAAGTTGTTCATAATATGAACTAAAAAAGGGTTCCTGAAATTATTTTTAAATGCTTTAATTTAGGAAATAAGTTGAAAAGATGTAAAAAAAATTGTAGTGAATTTCAAAACGCAACAATTTCGTAAACGAAGGGCCATAACTCATAAAATATAATATTTAGACAAAATTTCAGGGACCCTATTTTCCTTTGATATGTTAGCATTGAAACGTAAAAAAACTTTTTGGAATCGGAGTTGCGAGTTTCGAGAAATAGCTTTTGAAAAATCACCTACGTTTAGCCTTTTTAACAACCGAGATATCAGCACTTTTATAAATTTTCCATCATTGAACGCCTGTGTTAAGAATTGACTAATGCGGGAATTTTTAAATGTTTGGGAGGCGAAATACATCACAATCTACTAATCCATAGCTGCCCATGGCTGCGATCTATCAACTGAACTAAAAGTAAAATGGGTAGAAAAATGATGACCAAAAATTCGTCTCTAACCCTTACACTACAGTATCCTTAAGTATTATTGGCAATTATGGCTACTGGCTATTGACTAATATTGGCTATTATTGTGGCAATACTAACCAAAACCACCGGATTTTCGACGTGTTGGACTCATTACTGTACACTGTCTTCTAGCCCCGTCTTCTCCAGTTTTGTAATCACTTGAACAACCCTTTTTTGCCGCCCTGGTAACTAGTGGTAGTGTTGCTGACTACGCCATCGTACGGTTAGTTCGGATCAATGTGAATTTACGTAACAGATTTATATTTTCAATGTAATCTCTATGGTTCGACAGCATCTATAGGCATGATAATGTAGTTTTTGAAAAAGAAACATGCACGATAGGTTCTTGAAATTAGAACCTTTTCATGTTTTAATGAAGCGAAGTCCATATCTGTTATTTGTCTAACAAAACATTTAGGCCTATTTGTAAACAAATAACACCACATA